CCCCAAAACCCCAAAACCCCAAAACCCCAAAACCCCATAATGTGAAAATTCGAATTTTTTGTGAAGTAAAGAAATCAAATTTAAAATGAATGAGTATGTTAAAGTTTTGTTATGGAAATTCACTGAAATGAATTTAATTAAAGACTGCTCAATCATTTTGAATAATCAAGCATTTAAGAATAGCTCATGGTCTTCATTTGCCAGGAGGTCATCCAGTGTAACTAACTGGTTTCTGTTGATTAGCTTGAGATGAGAGACTCAGGAGACCCGCTTTGTTCACAAGAGCAACTGAGATTTCATTGTAGGCTGAGAGGTTGATTCCAGTAGCACCCTCGACCTTGTACCATTTTTGAGCAACTGTCTACCATTTAACTAGAGAGTAGTCTGTTCCACTTGGCTGATCTTCATCGAGTAAGGCCCAAAGGGATCCATCGATACCAGCACTGATAGAAATAAATTTTCCAGTTCCAAACCTTGTATCTACGTATCCATTGCTATCAATTAAAATAGGCTCATCCTTAAGTAATGTAATGCCCTTCTATCCTCCAAGAGCCTTATAGTAGTACATTGATGAAGTGCTATAAACTTAATGATAAGGACTTCCTAATGTATCTTGGTTAAGAGTGCCATCACTAAGTCCAATGATTTCCTTGTTTACAGTGACCTCAAAGTCAAAAAGTCCACAAATGATTTCTTCTTTGTTTGAATTGAGGACGCAATTTTTTGGAGTAAGGTAGTACATGTTGCCAAGTCTATCGAATCTTACTGCCTTTGCTTGGAAAGTCTTGTCAAGAATAGTCCAAATGTTAGTAACGATATCGTACTTGTAAACGAAGTACTTTTGCTCACTCATATCTCCTTTTATGCTCTAGATTGCATAAACATCACCATCAGGAGATGTCTAAACATCAATGAACGAATTGACCACAGACCACTTCAATTCTTGAGTGGCATTCCAAGAGAATTTGTTTGTTGCCTCTTGTCTCCACTGTGCTTATGATTCTGCTCTTTGCTTCTAGAGCACTTGACTGACTTGGATTGCAGTTGTAGCAGCAACAAGTAAAGCGGTAACGAGTAGTTGATTCTTCATAATTTAAATTCAAATTTTTAACTATATTCAAATTAACCTCGTTATTTCAAATAATTTAAATTCTAAGTCATTTTAACATACTTCTCAATATTAATGATCAGAGCAATTATTTAACTATCATTTTTTACTCTCTATTTAATGAGCATGGGGTTTTGGGGTTTT